GCCTTGCTCTCCACGGCTGGGGTGTGCGGAAAACCCAGCCATCAGTATTCTCTTTGGCTTTGAGTTTGCCCAACAGCCTTACCACTCTTGAGAAGAAATGGGATCAAAGGGCAATCTATTTCAAGTGATAGCTCTTTGGGGTTCTGTGACAGATGTATCACAGTGGCAACTGGAATTGCCTAAAGTATTGTTAAATTACTTGAAAAATATAAGCAGTGCATTTTTCTAGGATTATTAAATTCTTCATGTTTTGAATTTTATTAAATTTATTTTTATTTTTTAAGGGAGATTTTTGCTATAGGGTGTGTGTACTCACTGGAGAGAAAGAGACACAGAAAGCAAGAAATATCCCTCAGGAGGGATGGCCACACTGCAATCCCTTTTCCTCCATTCTCCTCTTGGGATTTTGGTCAGGCACACACACACTCCCAGTATGAGTTTCAAGTTGCTAGGTCCAGGACCTGAATCATGGCTGGCCATGTGGGAATCCAGTGCCTTAACCAATATGCCACCTGCTGGTCCCCAAATCTCTTCATTTTATTTTACTTTCAATGTATTGCTGTTTAAGAAGATAAGTTGTGGGACCAGCTGGTGGCCTGGTGGTTAAGGTGCTGGACTCCCACATGGCTAACTGCGATTTAAGTCCTGGACCTGGCAGCTTGCTTTCTCACATTCTCTCTCTCTCTGTTTCTTTGTCTCTCTCTGGTGAGAGCATGTGGAATATCACAAATTTTTAAATATAAATAAAGTAAATAATTCTTTAAGAAAAGGACATAAGTTGTAATCTACTTTTAGATGACTATTACTTTATATGGCTCCTCTGTTTTTTTAATCCTCATTTGTCTCTGGAGGTTAGGAAGGAAAGGTTTTATATACTAACTGGTCATGTGTGTTTGCCATCAGAAAATAAAGAATAATTACTGAGCTCAATTAAAGTCACCACAGTTGACAAATAAAATCAGAAGTTATCTGCTTAAATTAATTATGTGGATTGAGTTGGAGGCGGAACTTTTTTTTTTTGAGAGGTTTTTCACTATAGGGCACGTGCGCTCGCCAGACAGACAGAGAGAGACAGAGAGACAGAAAGCGAGAAATCACCCCCCAGAGGGGATGGCCACGCCGCAATCCCTTCTCCTCCATTCTCCTCTCCGGATCCTGGGCACGCACGCACACGCGCCCGGCGTGGGTTTTAAGCCACCGGGTCCAGGACGCGAACCGCGGTCGACTATGTGGGAGTCCAGCGACATAGCCATTACACTAACTGCTGGTTCCCATGAATTACTCATTTAACTTTATTTATTTGTTTGTTTGTTTATTGATTGATATCTTTTTAGAGGTTCTTGCCTGCACACGCACCTGGCATGAGTTTAAGCCACCAGGCCTGGGACTTGAACCACAGTGAGGCGGAACTTTTGAAGGGTGGAATGAGTAGATGAAGTGCAGGTGGCTAAGTGGCTGCTGTTCAGGATGGTTACTCTGTCTGCTTCCTCCTCTTCCTTTCCCTTCACTTCCTCCTTTTGTCTTCCTTTTTCTTTATTTCTCTCCTAAATAATCTCCATTAAGTATCATAAATCCTTTGTAGAATGAACCAGGTTCTAAATCAATAATATAAGTAAAAATTCATAACCAAAATATAACAAGTCTTGAGAGATTGCCCAGCTTTCATTTCAGAAAGAAGTTCTTATGATGGAGAATTTTAATAATTTACTTTCTCCTCTCAACTCTTAGGACAACCGATAGATTAGTCATCAAGATTCTGCTTTAATTATTGGCTTAAATTCTATGATCTAACATGATATTTTATTTTAATATCTAATGATCTTTCCTTCATTGAGATCTTAGTATCACTCCTGTTTCTAAATGGCACCCTGGTGTCTAGAGGCTAGGAAAAACAGCACAGATTGTATTTAAAAATATGTAAAAGACTAGGTTGTCTTTTCATTATTTCTTGGCTATGATTCTAATTTCTAAAAAAAAAAATGTAGCAGAGTTTGACACTCTATACCCAGAAAGTATATTCCCTGTAATATATATGGAAAGTCATTAGATCAATACATAGAAAACAGTCCAATATTAGGTTTTCCCATAATACTCTAATACTGAATTCTAACTCTGTCCTGAGGTACTTGTCAAGAAATAAATAAAGTGGAGTTTGAATGCCACATTACAAGGGAATGAATGTCATGTTACAGATCTCAAAACAGATACTAGCTATTTTAAACACAATACCTACAGTGATGACTGGGTCATTGTCACCTGTGACTGACTATACTCCTGTGGGGGGCTCCATTGCCATGACCTTGTCTGACCACTGTTGTCTCTCACCTAGTCTTCTTTAGGGCTTCACACTTTCTCCTGTACAATCTATTGTCTACATATTAGCTAGAGCAGTGCTTTACCAGCTATTTTAAAGCCTTCAACAGCCTCCATTGCAGTGTCATAAAAGCCACCTCCTTGCCTGGTTAATGGACCTGAATTATCTCGCCTACCTCCTCGATCTGATCTCATCTGGTACTCTCTCCAGAGTGACCGCAATTCAGTAACACTGACTTTCCTTCAAATGATAAAACGTGCCAAGCTCTTTCCAAATTTAGGACTTTACACATGCTTTCCACTCTTCTAGTGTGTTTCCTGACTCCCATCCACGCTCTACTCCCATGACTGGCATCTTATTTTCCTACAAAGTTCTTTGGCCTACATATCACCCCTGCAGAGAGGCCTTCTATGAGAAACTTCTGTGAGGAAACATGTCCCATCTGTATTAGAACTCGTGTTTTTTCTTTTAGCATTTTTAAATGAACTAATCACAATTTGTAGCAGTATATTTATCTGCCTCCTACTTCTTTGGCCAAGGTCTTTCTAGGTCACAGTACTGCCTCTGCCTTCTGAGTAGCTGGCACTAGAGGTGTGCAGCAGCACGTCTAGATTTTTAGGGTGGGCTGGGAATTAAACCTGGGCCTCCTATGTGGCCTCAGCCTGTGGAGCAGCAGTGTCTACCAACATGCACTTACAATAGCTGGGCCCAAATATATGTTTCTTTATTGTTCTCTCTCACAAACTGTGGAGCAGCAGTGTCTACCAACATGCACTACAATAGCCGGGCCCAAATATGTGTTTCTTTATCGTTCTCTCTCACGACCCCAAATCTGCCTTATAGCTCTGTAAAGTCAAGAAAGAGAGTAGGTACTTGACTTTTCAGTAAGTGGGTAGACTTGAAAACCAGACTTGGAGGAGAGAGAGGATTATCTAGAGTCCTTTCAGGTGTGAGTGACTATAACATAAATTGTATATAAGGATAATATAATTAAAAAGAGAAAGTGAATAGAAACCTCACTCTTTCTAAATTCTGGGAACATGTAAAAAGAAGAAAACTTGATAGAGGTAGAAGAGTGCGGATGTGGGATATTTAGGTCCTGAACTCTCTCTGTAGGCTTCAGATAAATCCAGTGGGCAACACCAAGGGAATGGTGTTGGGAGGATGCCCCACTTCCTTCTAGTCCGGGAGTATGGCAAGGAGATCGCGAGCAGAGGGCCCCCACTTTGAAATGGGAAATCCAGTATTATTAAGAAGATAGACTGGCATGTCCGGACAGAGAAAGTCTATCTTACACTTTCAAACTTTCTTTGTTTCCAGATAGTGTGCACATTTGATTGGGAGCTAGAGATCCTTTCAGGGAGCATCCTGTGGGCATGGAGCAGAAACGGAAATGGATTACTTGGGCTTTGCCTGCAGGTGTAGGACATAATAGAGTCTCAGAGAGGGAGACAAGAGAGGGAAAAGTTCAGTGAGAAGGGGCCCAAAGAACAGGTAAAGAATTTATGTGCTTTTAATAGCAACTGATGTCGACAGGATGGACCAGACCAGTCACTCCTATGGAATTCTAGATCAATCTCTGAGACTAATGCAGATCTGGAGACCACAGTAAGTTAGAGGATCCTCCATTGTGCCACTCTAAGTCACATAAGCCTCTTATCTGACACCATCTTCGAAGAGAGTGGAGGGGTTAAGACTAGCCTGGAAATAAGAGGGACTGAGTTATTAGCCAGAAAAGACTGAACATTACCTAGAAAGATGGTTTACATAGTGAATTAGAACAGGTTACAAACTGCATTGTACTAAATGACAATAATTTTCTCTTTTAAGTAAGAACTCTAAAAAAGACCTAATTAGTTAAAGATGACATAGAAACGTTACAATATTTCCTGCTCATATGAGTTGTATAATACATTTTGTATTTACATTTACTATACTTGTCACCTACAGGGACAGGAACCATACTTCTGATTCTCTGCTGGTATAAAATAAGAGTCCAGTAGCTCTTTACTAAGTGAATGAATGGATTATAGTTAAAAGTACTACATAAACATTTCTTTCTTCTATTTTTTATAAGCTTTGTATTTTATTTTCATTTTCCATAAACTTTTTTTTAGAGAGATTTTTGCTATAGCGTGCGTGTACTTGCTGAAGAGACAGAGAGACAGAGAGACAGAAAGTGAGAAATAACTTCCCTAAGGGGGATGGTCATGCCACAATCCCTATTCCTCCATTCTCCTCTTGAGATTTTGGGCATGCATGTACACTTTCCCTGAGTGAGTTTAAGCCACCGGGTTCAGGACTTGAACTATAGTCGACTATGTGGGAGTCCAGTGATGTAACCATTATGCCATCTGCTGGTCCCTACACAGGCGTTTCTTAAACAACCACTAAGAAAAAAGATAAGATTGGGGTTTGATGGTGGTGCAGTGGCAAAACACAAAACTCTGTGAAGCTGTCCCACATGGGAAGGTCCTGAGTTCGTGACTGGAGACACCGCCGAAAGCATCAGGCATGAACATACCAATGATGTTGGCTGGCTGAGTCTGGGAGTGGATCACAGTGTCACAACTCTGTTGGGGATGCTGCCTCTCTTTCTTTCTCTCTTTCTCTGTTTCTCTCCTCACTCATGGAAGAGCTAAATAATTAACTTGAGAGAGATAATGTTCAGTCAACCTGCTATGAGTCTGGAAAACTGAGTCTGTTAATTAGACTGACTGCATAATGAAGAGTGCAACTACTAGAATCGAATCTGGTTTCTACCTCTTGTTCTGTCACTGAATATCTGTGTGGACTGGAATAAATATTAGATTTTGTTTCATTATCAGTGTACGCAGGTAAAGTATTTTAAATCTCAGCTTTTAGTAATTTTTATAGCCATGAGTTTTCTTATGTAGTAAGTAAACATTTTCTAATCATTGACTTATCTATTTATTTGGATTAATAACTGTTGAAATAATGTAAGTTTTTCAAAGGAAACATGTTTTCTAATACATACCTCTACTGCAAGACACTTTTTTAAAAAGAGGTTTTTGCTATAGGGCATGTGTGCTTGCCAGAAAGACAGAGAAAGATAGAGAGATAGAAAGTGAGAAATCATTCCCTGGGGGGATGGCCATGCCACATGCCTTCTCCTCCATTCTCCTCTCGGGATCTTGGGCATGCACGCACACGTGCCCAGCATGAGTTTAAGCCACCAGGTCCAGGACTCGAACCACAGTCAACTACATGGGAGTCCAGTGACATAGCCGTTACACCAACTGCTGGTCCCACAAGACACTTTTAACAGTAAACCAAATTTTTTCTTTCAGTTCATTTCTATTAATGATAGAAACTAGGCAATAACTCCAATTTTTTCACTTCTAAAATGACCTTACCTGGGTTATCAGTAATGATTTCCGATTACCATTTACTTTCCCATCTTTACCCATATGTCCAGGTGGAATTTAATGACTCAATGCTGGGCTCAAGAACCTGACCAAAGGCCTACTTTCTATAGCATTCAAGACCAGCTTCAATTATTCAGAAATGTCTCCCTAAATAGTATTTCTCAATGCAGAAGCGAAACAAACACCAGTGGAATCATAAATGAAGGCTTTGAAGGTAATGTTGATTCCTTAACATTTTTTAGTTTTCTTTCCAGTGTAAACAGAACAAGGTTAAAATGGCATGTATGCAGAAGGCATTCCAGGTGGGTAAGAAGACTAATGCATTGGCACTATCATCATTGCAACTAAGTTCTTAATCCATTCTTCTTTAAAAATGATTTTGTATTGTGCACTAAGTTAAAAAAAATAAATATAGTGCCTTGGTCCTTGGTTTTATAATCTAAGGTAGTAAGAGAATGAACTTGTTAAGACTATATTTTCATGAGATCCATTCTCTTCCTCTTTCTGTCCTCCTCAGACTAGCTAGCTGGGATGTCAAGTGCAGTGCTGAGTTAATTATAGTCTTCATTTATGGTACATTGTCATCATTGGTGCAGGGCTTCTCTGTTATTTTGTTTGTGGTTTAGTCCTTTTACCCCTTTATTTCTCTTCTGTTCTATTTCTTCCCTATCCCTGCCAGGGAACCATTCTAATGTCTTTATGCATATTTTTTATTTGTATGTTTTCTTGCAAAAGGCACATTATTTTATATGAATGAAGGCTGCTTTTTAAAAAATGAAGTACTATGTTTTTAAGATTCATCCATGTTGATATGTATATATCTAATCCTTTGCTTCCAAATGCTGGGTCATTTTCTTATGATTAGTGTAGTGGATTAGGCCTTGTTAAGAATGCGTTGAATTTTATGACTCCAGTATTCTGATAAATGACAACAGTCTTCTGGAACCATTCTACTGTGATGATCATGCTAGCCTTGTAGTTCAATGTAGAGTACAAAACAGAATTAAGGGCTAGCAGATTGCATCGCTGGACTCCCACATGGCTAAATGCAGTTCGAGTTCTGGACATGATGGCTTGAAACTTACATGGAGTGTGTGTGTGTGTGTTTGTGTGTGTGCGTGTGTGTGTATGTGCATGTGCCCAAGATTCCGGGAGGAGAATGGAGCAGAAGGAATTTTACAATGTGGTCATCCCCCCATGGGAGATGATTTCTCATTTTCCTTCTCACTGCCTCTGCTTCTCTCCTGCAAGTGTACATGCTTCAAAGCAAAAACCTCTATAAAAAAAAAAAAAAAGAATTAAAACACAGTTTGCTTAACTCATCACTAAAATCAGATTTACTGTGCATCTGCCTAATTGGGTACAGAAAAATAAGTTTTACAATATTTCTCTTTAGCTGCTCTAGAAATCCTTCTCATTGTCAAGCATTTGCAAGGTCCTTCGTTCATTTCAGTACAGACATTCTTGCTTAGAAATGAACCTGGCAAGGTGGAAAGATCACACGGGATTAGGGAAAAAAATACCCTTCAGCCATTTAACTACTGTTATGTCCTTCCCATTTTGTAAAGATTTACTTAATAAAACATTTCTCTGAATAAAATTCTGATAATGAGAAGAATTACTTAAAAAGATAGTTCCTGAATTTGGGACAAAACATAGTATTAAGTATTTATATATAATGTGTTCCATTTGTCTGCTTTCAAGAAAAAGAGGAGGTGATATTTCTTTCCTTTGAGAAAATGGAGTAAGTTTCTTTAATCGTATAACAAGTTTATAGTGACCTCAGTTTTCACCAGCGATTTTGAGAGTTGTTTTTGTTATCAGACTTCCTTGCCCACCGAAGGAAGGATGGGTGCCACCAGTCCACTCTTAAATAAGACGAATGGCTCAAACCATTTTAACCTGATCCTACCTGGCCTGCTTCTTACTTGTTATAACTGCACTTAAAGAAACTTGAGGAGCCATTATCCAAGCGATGTGCCAATACGTAAAATGGTATCTTCAGTTTCTAAGATAGATACATGCCAGTAACTGAGCTGAATTGAATGTGCAACTGTCTGAGAGGCAAGCACAATGTGGTTTTCTTACTTGGCATTGAAAGCATATTTTTCTTGCTAAATCACTGCTCTTATCTTTAGAAAGCAACACTTTATAAATTCAGCACAATCATTACCTCTTTTAAGGTTTAAAAATATTTTTTTAAAAAACAAAACACAGAATCTCTGGTGATCTGGTCTCAGCCTCCTGAGTAGCTGGGCCTACAGCTGTATGTCGGGCTTTCAGGGTGGGCTGAGAATTGAACCCAGGCATTTGAGGTGGGTGAAAAGAATGGCCTAGTCTATAGAGCAGCAGCATCTTTATCATTGTGCCACCTCAGCTGGGCCTAAAAAAAAATAATAATTTTTATATTATTTTACATCAACCATATCTATTTTTTTCTTTTTCTCTTTTTGGAGAGGTTTTTGCTATAGGGTGCATGTGCTTGCCAGACAGACAGAGAGAAACAGAGAGACAGAAAGCGAGAAATCACACCCCAGGGGGGATGGCCATGCTGCAATCCCTTCCCCTCCATTCTCCTCTCAGGATCTTGGGCACGCACGCACACATGCCTGGTGTGAGTTTAAGCCACTGGGTCCGGGACTCGAACCATGGTTGACTACGTGGGAGTCCAGTGACATAGCCATTACGCCAACTGCTGGCTCCATCAACCATATTTTTAATTTCCTTTCTAACTTTTCTAGTAACTGCTCTTGCTGTATTATTTTATAACTGTCTACATTTTTAAAATCTTTTTTATTTAAAAAAATGTATTTAAGCAGAGTAAAAAGTAAAAGTTCCCTAATTCCTCCCTGTGTCACTCCCAGTACTAGTAGCCACAGTGAACAACTTGGTTATATACATTTAGATATTTTATGTGCATATGTATTTATCATTTACAAAAATTTTTAAAAATATATGTTTGTGGATGTACTAGCTAGATTTAGAGATAAAATGTGGTCAGAGTATTTGGTCAGTTCACCATTTTTTTTTCCCTAC